CTATTCAGTAATTTCCTAAAAAAAAAGTGAATAGAAGTAAAAGTTTTGGATTGTAACATAAATAAAATGCCTTTTTCTTTACATTTTATTAATTGTTGGGTTAAGAATCTATGTTGAAAACTATTTTCTATCAAAATTTTATAGATATTTATTGATATATATATATATATTTTTTTTTTTTTTTTTGTACCATGAATCAAACTCAAGACCTTGTGCTTACCAGGCAGTTACTTGTGCTGCTGAGCTATATCCCCTGCTGCAATTATTTTTTAAAAATTCAGTGTGAGAACTCTAATCTCATTCAGCTTTCTAATTTATTTATTGCTTTTCACTTATAGTTTAAAAACAGGACATTTTTCTTTATCTAAGGTAAATTTAACCCCCAGGATTTTGAAATTTTATTAAGTGATGCCTTCATTTTAGTTGCTCATGAGTTTCAATTGTGTTTATCAAACACAGAGCTGCGTTTTAAAATCTGGAGGCTCGTGTTTTCCATTTACGGTATTGTTTGTGGTAGTATCATTTTTGTGATATTTCTTCTTTGACAGCCTTAAAGATTCTTTTCCTGTTCCCTTTTTCTGCAGTTCCCTTGGACAGCTATTGGATCTTCTGTGTTGGTGCTTTAAACCACCTATGATTCTTTTCATGTTTTCTGTTGCTCATCTTCTTGTTCTCTTTTCTAGGGTGCTGTATTTACTTCTTTCTTGACCCTTATTTTAAACTCTCTGTGTATTGGGGTCAGAGATTGAACACAAGGCCTCAGGCATGCTAGGCAAGTGCTCTTTTAAAAAGATAATTTGTTTTTCTTTTAAACGTAATTTATTTTGACTCTCTGAAAAGTTTCCATATATTTTCACTGAAATGTATTTATTCTCTAATTCATTTTGTGATATTAAGAATGAAATATTTCTTATATTTCTGAGGCTAACAATAAAGTGTTTATATGATTGCTATTTGAAATGTTTTTCTTTCCTTGTTATGTCTACTTGCCTCAGTTTCTTTTATTTCCTACTTTTTAATTCTCTTTCTCTCTCTCACTCACTCTCTCTTTTGCTAGAAATTCCATCCATACTCTGATGATCCCTGTGATCCCTGACTGCGTGTGTGTTCATTTCTAAGGGTGAAGTAGTAAAACCTTGCTGGGTACCTAGGAACAGGGCTGGTCCTTACTTACCAGCAGTTTTCATGTGAAAAGACAAGGCAGGGCACCTGGCATTTGGTGAGGGCCACTCAAAGGTCAGTATGGGGAAACACAAAATCACAAGATGGCAGTACTTTGGCACAGGCTGTGGGATGAAGCAGTTCTGGGAGCAGCGGGTTCTGTGTCAACAGAACCCCAGCCAGGTGCATTTCCTGATACCCTAATATAAGTAAATTCTCTACCAAGGTCAATGCTGGTGAGTGCGGATAACTTATATAACCAAGGTCATTACTGGCGCATGATGCCTCTGTGTACTTTGGTATAAATGTAGACTAATCAGTGAGGATTGCTGAGAGAGGGGAAGATGAAGGAGCCAAGGACTGCTGTTCTCATGGGCAGCTCAGGGCCTAAGGACTATTGTGTGTGTATACCACCAGAAAGCACAGGACCAGCTAAGCAGATGGACTAGGGTTCAGGGGCTGAATGAAAGCTGTTAGATCTTTCCATGTCTCTCTGCGTCTCTTTTTAAGCCACTTGACTCTCAAGCGAATCTCCCCAGCCTGGGCCAGGTCAGTCACTTGTGGAAGTCTCTTTTTCTGGAAAACTCAGTTTCTTCAAATAAGAACGTTTAATTATGCTGTGGTTGGGTAGCTGACTACTTGTTCTACGCCAAAGCAGGTATAGAGGTGATAAGAGACAAGTTTTTGTGGCTTTCTGGCATCTCTGCACATCTGGTGTCAACTTTTCTTTTGGACTCTGTTGTCGAGAATGTTTGTATAGCAGTCAACCCTAGATGACGGAGACAAGGTTTGTTTCCTATCCAGGATAATAAAACTAACGTCTCCCTCTGGAGCAAAGGTTGATTGGGTTGGTAGTAGAATAGAATTTTCTAAGCTCTTGGACCATCAGCTGTGACTCAAACCTGTTACCTATGCAACAGGCAGCAGCCACTCAGCATCACTTTGGGGGACCTTGGGATGGAGGACTGAGGGAAACTTACAGATACTCGAAGCTCGTACTGCTGCTGCACTGAGCGCATCACAGTGTTTTGTCTCTGATCCAGTGGACAAACATTCTTTGCCCACCTGTCTTCTGGTGGCATCTATGGAACTGCAGCCTGGCAAAGTCTCATATTATTGATATTTCCGGACAAGAAGAACTGGGTCACTGACTATTTTAGATGATGCATCTCATGCATTCGCTTTGTTTTCCACCCTGTGTCTCATCTTCCCTCTTAACGTGCTGTGCAATCCCAATTTACTTTCTCTGAATCATCTCTGGAGAGCAGATTGCCTGCTGCTGATGTCTTCCCCATTATTCAGGTGGCCTGTGAAGCGTGGGGATAAAGAATTTCTGTTCAGTCATAAATTACTCCCCTAGAGCATTATTTTATGGCTTAAATCTCATCTACAGACTCTCTCTGGTAGTGATTTTTGAGAAATAAAATGGAACGGGGAATATAATAACATTTCATGGAACATCAAATACAGTTTCAGTGTTCAAATACAGACAAGCAATAATTTTAGATCTAGGAGCTATCAGTTAATAAGTTTAACATCAGCCCTTTTCTTAACCCCATCATACAGACTCATAAAATGTGTTTGCGACAGAATACTCAATGTGCAGGTCCCGAGCACTCAAAAGCAAGGTGACAAATAGTAGAAGGTAAGAACAGATCATTCACGTCAAGGCCTCTGAAAACCTGCTGTTATATTAGATGTGAATACATCATTTGAAAACCAGAGCAGCTCTATTTACAGGTTTAAGTAGTTCTGTCTTATAGGTTATTGGCCTGTGGCCATTTATTGAAATCCAGGATCTTTATGTTTAGCATTACTCACACGTCAGGGTTATTATATTTAAAAATAAATGACATGGGATATCTCAGTGATCTCCAGAGAATTAAAAATATGATTATTTCCTTTTTTCTCATTGTCCTTGTTCCTGCTCCCTCTACCTCCCCAGATTCCAGCCCAAATCTCTGCTCAAACTCTCATTCACTATGGAAGAACACATTATGTTTGATTTTCCGGATCACTTGATTAAAAGCCTTGTTTTCTTAGAGATTTAGGATAGCAGCTTCACCCTTCAGTGAAATTTTCAATCTCTAACAAGATGTGTCTCTATTGAAGGAGTGGTTTACATTGTGTGAATATTCCCTCTGCACTTTGGTAAATATAATGATGTTTTATGTTCCTTTAAGAGTCTACTCTGCGAACTCTTCTTAGAACTTTTTTTCCAATTTATTCCTAAACTCAAAGTTCTTATCCCAATGTACAACACATTTAACGTCCTTAGATGTTTATTTTTTGTGTGATATTTTATCTCTGCATATTGTCTATTTAGTTCACGTCCTTCCTCTCTGCAAGGTAAGAATGCATTGGAGGGACAGGTGACAATATGTCAGGAGAGGACCAGAGTCTGGGATGGTGCTCTTTGTGCCAGGAACCCATTGTAGGTGGTGACAATTGTAACGGGGCTGGAGATGGGCCCAGGTGGCACCGGGCATAGACACACTGTGCTTCAACCTGTTTTTTTTTTCTCTTCTGATTCATCTGCTGAGTCCGCGTGCTGCTTTCTGTGGAGAACAAAGAATGTGTGAGTAAATGTCACATTCTCAGATACACTGAGGACCCGCTGGACACAGAAGGGTATAGGTCAGATGTTTGGGTATTTAATGATGTTATGTGATAACGTGCTTCCTCTGCTCTGGATGTTGACTTCATACAGGAGGCCTGTAATTCCTGCTCAATGTTAGAGAAAGAATCTTCATTCCAGGGGCTGGGGATTTAGCTCAGCGGCCAAAGCGCCTGCCTGGCAAGCGCAAGGTCGTGAGTTTGGTTCCCGGTACCGGAGAAAAACCAAAAAAAAAAAAAAGAAAAAAAAAAAATCTTCATTCCAGTGTGATCGCTCACAAAAGCAAAACAGTATTTCTCCCCTTTTGATAGTCCCTTCTCTTGTTTACTAACATCCCAAATCAGCTCCTGTTTGATTGTTTATAGAAACTTAATCCTGAACATTATAATACACATTGATTTACTTTTTCATCTGACTTCCTCTGCTTAAAAGTGCAGCACTGAAATAAAATATGTTTTAATATGTCTATCTCATTGATAGTTTCGTACATCCCCTGACTCTTGGAATTTTTAATACCATTTACATTTCCTTTGTCTTTCCCAGTTATAAAAGGCTCAAATGTTTTCTGGAAGAATTGTCTGTTTCATTCTAAAAAACAAGGAAGCAGACATTTTCTCCTAGTGATTGTACAATTGTAGCTCGACCATTTTTTACCTCCCTCTCCACCATAATTTATTCTTACCCTGATTCTTTTTTCCAAGAAATCATAATTGATCAGAGAATCTGGATGAAGATTTTATAATCAGGGTTTTTCTTTTTTAAAAATGAATGATCAGAACCCACATTCTACAAACTTTCTCTTGAATAAACTTTTGAACAATAAAATTTGAGGCGTTTGGAATACATTGGTGCCCTCTAGTGACAAAGCACCAAAAGCAAAGATGCTGAACAAATTAAAAAAAAAAAAAATTATAAAAGAGACTAAGAAAAGAGAAAGCAAGAAAATTAATTTATAATAGTACAGCAGGGCTTCAGTGTGAATATATAAGAAGACTTCCACTTGTAGCGGTACAGCCATATAAATTTAGATTGGAAACAACACATACAGTTGAGCAGATGAACCTCCAGTGTCCTCTGATTTAGAAATGGGTGAACATGTCTTGTGTTCTGTTTGCTGAAGTGCATGCCTCTGGAGGTTCCTCCTTCATGGCCACCTTTCTGATGGGCACAAACACATCATAGGAGCCAGCGTCCAGCCTAAGTTCGAGTCCCTTCCTTCCTTTCTCTGCTCTTTTTGCTCAGAGAGGACATGGCTGTGCAGTGCTGTGGATAAACTGCTGGCACATGGAGGTCTGTTTGGTGCTGCCTGACTCCAGAATCAAGAAGCCCTCTTTCTTCTTTTGAGAGACGCTGTACCGGCCAGAGACATCGCCTTTGGCGTAACTCTCAACACCACAGGAGAAATGGATCAGCGGTGGTTCCAGACCGTCTTGTTGATACCAGCACATTCTTTCATGCTCCACATCCTGTGAGCATTCCAGGCAAATTTTCTCTCTTGTCCTTTGGGCTGGGTATCTTGGGGGTAATTTTGTGTCCACAGTGCCTGTGAGTAAAGCATAGAGGAGGGAGAACAGGGGTTGTTAGAAGCCTTGTAAGGGAAAGATCGTGTACTCCAGGTCTAGAAATACCAGGACAGAGTTTGCCACCAACCTTCAAACATGATCAACTTTCAGAACTCACCCACTCCCAGGAAACAAAACACCAAGCCACAGAGATGCCTGACTCCCACGGCTGTTTTGAAGAACACGCTGGTCTTTTCCGGCCGCCGATTGACTGTGATATCAGTGTTGCTGACCATGTGCAGGAGCCTCACCATCTTCTAGATTTCAGTCTGGTGGCACTAGAGAGTAAAGGGAGATCATGGGAGCACTGTGTGAGCGAGTGTGTAAGCGTGTGGGCACGTTTGTGTGCCTGGGGGTAACGCTGTATATGTCCTTATAGACTCAGTGCATTAAAAACATTTATTTTTAGATATTTCTCTTGTAACGGTTGCCACTTGCTTTCACAGAAATAGCTACACCTAGAGAAAGCCAATGGGCAGTGTGCTAATTCCTTTTCTTTTTTTTTTTTTTTTTGGTTTTTCTCCAGTACCGGGAACCGAACTCATGACCTTGTGCTTGCCAGGCAGGCACTTTGCCGCCGAGCTAAATCCCCAGCCCCCCCCCCTTTTTTTTTTTTTTGCTAACTCCTTTTACAGAACACCTTTCTTTCCCCTGATGCACTGGTCATGGTAATAGCAAAGGTGCAAATGCTCACATGTGCAGGTTCCTCTGCACCAACAGTGAGGTCCTGCACATGGTCAGTACCAGGTGCAAGCAATAAAAGGTGCATTATGGGAAAATTAAAAAGAATAATCAGACCCACTTAAATGGTTCTGCTTTTGTCATCATACGCTAGGAATTCTAAACTCCTTTCATGAAATATTCAGTTTTTTGTGACTGATTTTGCTTCCCATAATGCCAAACCCATAGAAGCAGAGCATAGATGAGGAGGGGCGTCTGGAGAAATGAGGGGTTATCGTTGGTAGGAAGCTTCAGGCAGGCAAATTCTACAGAGCTGCTGCACAACATGGTACCGACAGTTAACAATAAAGTATACTTAAAGTTTTGTTACACTAATTTGCTAATTTTTATCATGAGCTGAACAGCCTCCTCACAATAAAAAGGAGAATATTTTAAATTGGCGATTTTGGAGCATATTGTGGATCAGAAAAACTGGGTCAAATACAGATGTCTTCATGATGCTTCTATTTTCCAATAGAGTTTTTCTTGTAGTTATTGTTCTTATATCAACCATTAACATTTCCTAATGGTGTGTGTGTGTGTGTGTGTGTGTGTGTGTGTGTGTGTGTATGTCCTAATGTCCATATTTCCTAGTGGTACATATGCATATGAAACTTTTACTATCTAAACCATGAATCAGTCATGGGCATGTTATGGCTTTTATACTTTCTTTTTTTTTTATTTTAGAAATAAAAGGAGGAAAATATTAACAGACCGACAACATTTTACAAAATAGCATAGGATCAGTACAGACATTACAGAGTTACAAACAGAGTGGTAGGGAATTAACAATGCTTATTGTATTACATATTGATATCTTCAATGTAGTTTCTCATGAAAACACATATAGACATACAAAGCTAATCAACCAATGCCTCACTGACAGTTTCTTTCAGCAAGGAAATACAGGACAGTAGAACACCCGTGTTAACTATCCTGCATATACATATATACAAACTTTCTCCTTCTCTCCCTTCTCTTTTCCCATATCCCAGTTATCCTTTACCTAGGAGTGCTTTCCTATCAATTCTCAATGCCTATCATATCTCCTAGATTAAATTAACTCTTTCAGGCTTTACACTACAGAAACAATGCAGTGCTTGCACATGTATGTTTGATTTATTTGGCTTATGAGTATGGTCTCTAGTGGCTTTTATACTTTCTGTAATCATATAATATAGTCACGGCTCAGCTTCAGCTGCTTAATTTTTACATCGCTGACATCATATCTAATCTGGAATCTGGCAGATGCAACCCCGTCATGCGTCAAGCTGCTCACACAGCCACACAAGACAAAAACCTTCTGATCTTCAGCTTCGTGGACTATTTGTTTGCACAAAGGTTTTTGCCTCAATAAATTGTTCTTATCCCTATTAGAATGGGTTTTCTTTTTGAGTTGTTTCACAAGATATAAGATCTGAAGACTACTGCTATTGATGAAATCTTTACGCTCACAGTGTAGTCTGACATGATTCTGTTATGATTAATCAACAACTATGAGCAAAATGGTTGTCTGGCACACATAGGTAAATGAAAGGGGGCCCTGTGGTCCATCTCTTCAGGAGGCTGTGTGAGGGATGCTGGGCTCATTCATCCCTGTTCTGCTAAAGGCCGGGGAGCTGATGATACACTATGGAGAAAACAAACAAGGAGTAAGAGAAAGAGGGCAGTGATTGCGCAGAAGCAGGTGATGTCTTTCGAAGTGGCTAGAGATGGACTCATACTGACTGGGGCCCTAGGAGCTTTAATGTCTCCAGTGTGGGAGATGGGAAAGACTTCTGCATGCTTCTCCTCTGTGGGAACAGTCTCTTCATCTGGCAAGAGCAGGGCTCAGGAAGGCAGCCACCTCTCCCTGTGACACAGAGAGGAAGTGACTTGCAGGGTTGCGGGCTAACTGCTAACACTGAGAGGGGCTGGGCATCTGGAGGGTGGGGAAATGCTCAGGCTAATCTCGAAAGGCACACATCTCTTGATTGAAAACTAGCTATAGCTGCAGTCCTGACTCTTGTCTGGACCCACACATGGAGATCATAGCACATGGTTCCATCTTCCAATCAATTTCTCTTCTGACCTTGAAACCTAATAAGAATCCTGGTGACACCATGATCACATAGCTGATAAAAAAAAGAACTCAAGATGGTTGAGTTCTGCTGATGTATATCCAACAGAGAAAGGCTTAATGTAAGCAAATTCAAGAACTGGATACCCAAGAACAGCAGCACATTGCTGGATACAATGCAGGCAGCCATGGTAGCTGAAAGAAAGAAAGGGAAAGTTCATGTTGGGGAGGAGGGCAGGTAAACAACCACCGCATCATGGGGGTGTGGAGAGACTTGCACACTCACAGAAATATCACACTAACTAGTTAAAGAATGATAGAAAAAGGCTTTAAACTTGAGAGCGGTGTGTGGGTAGGGACAGGTAGCCAGTGGCAGACAGGTTGACTGTGTGTGTGTGTGTTTAGAGGAATCCACGTGAAAGGTCACGTTTGCTGGACCACAGTGATATCAGCGTGGTGAGAAAAACTAATAAAATTTGCAAGAAAACTAATTCTTAGGAAAAGTCAGGACATGCGATGGATCTGGAATAGAAGGATGTCGAGGGATGCTGAAAATCACTCCTGCATCTCGGGCTCACACATTTTGGTGATTAGCAGGATCATCTGCTGACATGAGGGAAAACATTGGACTGAAAGTCATCTCAGAACATGGTGCTTCCCCTAAGCGACCAAGCATCCAAGAATAGGATCTGGAAACATTTTGAGAGTAGATCACAAATGAAACGTTTAGTTTGAGCAATCGCTCAGTTGGATTTAAGGATTTCAGCTTGAAAGGGAGGCCGCATTGCTCAGAATCCTCAAAGCTGGGGGAGGGAGGGGGATTCAGTGGTCACTTGTGGCTGGGGTGATTTCCCTTCTGATCGAGGTGGGACCTCCAGAGGCAGGCGTCTTTTCACTCTTGTGGCTGGTCTTTTTGTGCTAAGAGCAGCTGGCTGTGCAGTGCTGTGCATATACTGATGGCAGAGGTACACAGAGGTCTGGCTGGGGTTGGCCTTCTCCACCGTCAGGAGAAAACTCTTCTTCTCTTTTCGAGAGATGCTGTATCCATCAGAAACATCTCCTTTTTCAGTTATATCAATATTAAGTGAGTAGCAGATCAGCTTCAGGCCCAGCCCTGGTCTTGTCGATACCAGTACATGGAGTCATGGCTTATATTCTGAGAACAAGTCACTGTCATGCTCTTTCCCACCTTGGGGATGAGGTGTCTGGGTGTCTGTGTCACCTGGGCTCCCGTGGGTCCCTTCAAGGAGTCAGAGTGAGAGGCAAGCAGTCAAGGAGCACCTGATGTTGAATCTTCAGGGAAGGACTTAAGTGAAGGCCTGCAAGATAAAGCCATAGGTCGCATACGTGTTCTGGGACTCACCTGTTCCCAGGAGACAAAGGACCACACATTGAGGAGCCAGGAGCCCGTGGCAACATCAGACAGAGGTCTGCCAGCCCTGGAGGCTCCAGTTATCTCTGCGATGTCTGCCTGTTCAGCCTCTTGGCCTTTACAGATATTCCCACGAGAGAAGCCACTCCCATTTCCTCCAGGGGCTGAAGTGTATAGCGGCAACAGTGCCATCGCAGGGTGGAGACATTTGTGCTCAGCGTCATTTCCCTTAATTTTCTTGAGGCTGATTGTCTTTATGTATGTGCCAGTTTTCTTATTAATACCCTTTTGTAAAAATTGTCAAACATTTATACATTTTGGATCCTTATAGTACCAATTGGCATACTATATTTATCACTTCCAAATGTGAGAACATGAAGCTTATGTTATTATCAAAGCTGTACTTTCCTATTTTTAGGAATCATTTCTTCTCCTTTGAAAAAATACTTCTGAGAATCTTCCTAACTGTGTTTATCTTCTGCTACATTTTTAGTTGCTACCTTTTGAAAGAGTCTAAAGTGTAAAAATTCAGTGAGATTCTCATCATGGATTGTTTTACCACTGTATATCTGACTGAAAAGTCCTGGCACACAACGACTTTGCTCTTCATAGGATCAGAGCTACCTGTGACCGCTTTCCTGAAGACAGCGTCTGTGGGACTCTCGTCTCTGTGCTTCTCCAGAGGAGGATGGCTTCCTTCTTGAGCGCCTTTGAGCTGGTTTTATTTTTGGATTTATTTTTTATACTGAAGGTATAGTTTACATTAAGGTATAACTTTTTTTTTTAAATTAGGGTACAGGATAGTGTATATTAAGGCATTAAATTTTATATATTTCATAGGGTACAGTGTGCTGTTCTGAGATATGTATACTTTACATTTTTGTTATGATCTCTGGGAACCATGGTGTTCTTGGGTGAGGAGGGAGGGGAGGAGACTTTCTCATCCCTTTTGTCTCTTTCTACCCATTGCTAGAGCCTCCCTGAGCCTTTTGGTATTTTGCCAAATTATTCTCATCTCCAGGCAGAAAGTGGGCCCTCATCCTAGTTTCCAGGGCTGCTCTCAGCTCAGTGTGGATTTTATCCATACTTCCTGTCAGCGTGGGAAGCAAAGCTCCTTG